TTGATTAAGAATTTAAAAGCGGCTTTTTTCATTAGCACCTAATTGTTTTCCTTTAGTCATTTATTCTTCAAGACACAAAAACGAGCGCAAACCAATAGTATGCCGTTAGTCGATTTACCAGTTACTGTGCATATGAATAATAATGAAGAGTCTAATGAAGAAGAAGAAGAAGCGCAAACAACTGCACCAACCATCGATTCAAATCATTGCCGTAACTCGATAACGACAACACAACCAAATCATTCAGAAAATGACCTTCATTCTACTCATAATTGTCAAAATGAATATGAAAAACATTTAAAAGCAAAACTACGATTTTTCTTTATGAGTCCATGTTGGAAATGGAGATTAAAACGACAATTCCCTTGGAAAGCTTGTTTCCAATTGATAAAAATAATTGTTGTTACAACACAAGTAAGATAAGAATTTATTCGTCTGTTTCATACGTTTGTCTCTTTTTTGTCATTTTTCAGTTAATTTTATTTGGAATTGAACGAGAAATGCATGTGATATATATTTCTGAAAGCAATATTACATTTCATCACTTATTTCTAAAAGAATGGAGTTCGACATTCGAAACGCTACCTTATCCACAAACAGTAGGAGATTATGCCGTTTACACAGATGACGAACTTATAAATGAGATGAATTATGCTATTAATCGAGTGAGTATTTTAGAATTGAGAAGAGACTTTCAATTACACTTTTAGTAGTAATACTCCTCATTAATATTGTTTGTACAACAGTATTCTTCCTTGTTATACTTTTTCTGAACTACTGGAAAATTGTATTACAAAATATAGAATTTGTCTCTTTTTCTTTATACTTTAGTACAATAATATGACTGAAATATCGCTTGGTTTATTTGATTTTCATACGCATAACGATCTAGATGCCAGTAATCCTCAACGAACTGTGAAAATATGTTTAAATCGTTTTGATACTTGTACAATGTTTCCAAGCAATCATACCTATCAATTAAATCCTTTAATTGAAAATAGTAAGTGCATGTTCCACTAATAAATCAAATATATGTAAACAAAGTATCAAATTATTTCTTTATTCTTAAAGAATGTTATACTTTTAATTTAACTGATTCACTGTCAAATAATATCAGTAATTTTGATATCCATGATTATTTAACAAAGCAAAATGATTCGATTAATTATTGTAGGTATGTTAACAAAGTGCCTTTCTTTTTCTTTTTCCTTAAATACTTTTGTTTTATTTAGAGTAAATTTTGTTACAATTGAATTTATTATTAATGCAATACAATTAAAAAACCTTCAACCGTTTAGTCTACCAGATTGTTATCATTTTCAAGTTAAGGTATGTTTTATCTTACATATGCAGCAGATTAATAGTACAATATTTTTATTATATTAATCAGTTAATAAAAAAGAAGCCAGAGAAACTCCTGTGCACATCAACGTTAAGAAAAAAAATAAAGTTCATTTGCAGTTGCGAAAAAGTGCTTTTTCATATTCAGTACACTTGATAACCCCAAAGATTTTCTATTTTTGGCAAGGTGTATTACCAGAAGTTCAAGAAAATTCTGAAAGTAATATTATTTTCCTTTAAAAATTTTTTTTCGTCAGTCTGTTCGAAACATTGTCCTAAACTTTTGATAATACATCTCGCCAAAAATAGAAAACCTTCTAAGTTATCGAGTGTGCTGCATACGAAAGAGCACTTTTTCACGACTTTAAACGAACTTTACTTTTCTATGGGTACGCTATGTTCCTACACAGAAAGAGTCAATAGTTGATATACAGTCCTATGTAAAGTTATAGAAACGATTTGTTTTCACCACTTTTCTGAAGACATCTTCGAGCTCTTCGCGACATGCTTGTGTTAAACTGCATTTCATTGTACAAAAGCTTCTAACTCGTCAATACTAGAAATTCAACTGAAAGGCAACAAGAAAATGTTTTGGGGATCTCTGCTATAATGCAATGAGTATACAAAAAGTTTTCGATTAGGCCGACAGATCTCATTTCTTAGAGTTCTAGTTTTCTAGAGATCTCATATCAGCAAATTTTAATGAAACTTTGCGTACAGATCGCTTCAGATTAAAAAATTTTCCAGCTATTAAAATTACTTTTTGAATTTTTCTCATTATTACGATCGAGCAAAAAAATAAAGATGACGATTTATTTTTATTTTTTATCTATTTTAGTTAACATTTGATAATAGCGCTCGTACGGGAAAAATTCGTGTTCGATTAGATTCTCAAGCTCAATTTCGTGCTTGTGATGGTAAATTATTGGATCAGCACGATTGGACTCTCATGCGGCGAGACTTGTTAATTGCGTACGATTCTTTCGTACTATTAATAAGTTTTATATCTTTTATACTCTGTATAAGATCTCTCTATCACGGATATCGACTATGTAAGGAAACGATGCAGTATTATAATAAAAAATATTTTAACAATCAAACAACCACAAATACAGCGTCTATCGTCACTACTAGACGAAAGAAAAAAGAGAATCATCATAATCAATTACCATTAAGTGAATATTATCAATTTTATAGTCCATGGTATTTTCTTATGATCATCACAGATTTAATGGTGTTTGCTGGAACAATAATTAAAATTTATATTCTTTTAAAAGTAAGTTATCATAAAATGTTTGTCCATAGTTAACATTGACAGTTACAGACTTCTTTGTTGAATAAAATGTATACGATATCGTTCGTAATTAGAGTAGATTGAGTTAGACAAAAATGACGAAGTATATCAAATTAGAAAGATAATGGTTTGCTCTCTAAGTTTGTTTCTTTTTTAATAATTATAGTTAGTTGATGATTATAATGCAGCAGGTCTGTTATTAGGTGTTAGTAGTCTATTTTCTTGGTTTGGAGTATTACGTTATTTATCTTTTTTCAAAAAATATAACCTATTATTTGCCACAATAAAACGTGCTTTCCCGTTATTATTACGCTATTTTCTATGTATATTAATTATATTTTGTGGTTTCATGTTTTGTGGATGGATTGTCCTCGGGCCATATCATTCGAAAGTATGTACTGTTGTTGTTGTTGATGATGATGGTGATAATCATGACGATAATAATGATAATATCAGTTCTAAATATGTATTTGTTCTTTTTACTCTAGTTTCGTACAATTACTACAACATGTGAAAATATGTTTTCACTAATAGCTGGCGATGATATGTATACTACATTTACAAATCTTGAAACCGAATCAATTTATATTTGGTTGTTTTCTCGACTCTATCTTTACACCTATGTTAGTCTGTTTATTTATGTTGTATCAAGTCTAGTCATTGCACTTATTATCGATGGTTATGACACAGTAAAAACTTTTTATAAAGATGGTTTTCCAAAAACTATATTAGAACGTTTTTCGGAAGAAGATTTACCAACGAGAGAACTCTGTAATTCAACAACAGCCATCGATTCAACAGCATTATGTTTACCATGTTGTTTTTCATCGTAAGTATTTTAATTTAACATATATATGTAGAATACATAACTAGACAAAAAAAGAGTATTCGTTCGATTTCTAGTAAGCAAGTTGATGATTTGTCCAACCGTGATCGTTATCTCGTTAATAATGCTTATTCATTCTATTAAAAGTATATTTATTAGGTAAACAAGAATAGTCTAATTAGCTTGCTATATGTACAATAGAGTCATATAACGCTAATTTGAAATGTTAATTTTGTTTTTGTTTGATTATGCTCATTGCTCTCATTGATCATCATTGATTTATTTGGTAGATAACGTTATTATTCGAAAACGATGTATACCATTCGAATTCTCAATAATTCTTTATTAAAATGCTTTCTTGAATTATGTATGTAATAATCCATAACTATTTTTCTCTAGAAATTAAGTTTTAATCCTACTGTAGACAATATATTGATTGCAAAAGATTAGAGCAGTTTCTATCAATTGTACGATTTCTAATTTTCTTTTTGTATTGATTGTATGATAATTATTGCTGAATTAATTCAAACTAGTTTAAAAAGCGTTCAATATTTTTTGTCTTTTAGTTTTACTCAAATACAATCTTCGTTTAATGTTAACACTGATTCTGATCCGTCCTTATGTACAATTACAAGTCAATATAAACCATTTCATGATGAAAAGAATGATAGTGATGATAATATGCTAGCACTGTAATTATAAAAGCAGTTTATTGTTTGTTAGATTTTTTTTTGAATGTTAATATTTTTCCTTTTCTGTACATATATTATTTTTAATGCAATATTTTTTCGCAATTGCAACACATTTACAAATATTTGCTCAAAACAAAATATTTTTTGTAATGAATTTTTAATTTAATATGCTCAATTTTTTTGTATATTCGTATATCAGATAGAGAAAGAATATATTTCTTTTTACAAAACAAAATAGACAACGATAAAGTATTGTATAAGTAATAATAGTGATTACTGATGGTAATATGTGAATGCCGTTACCGCTGCATTCTGGATTAAAAATTCATTGAATATTATTTTTGATTGGATAATTTTTTTTAATCAAAAAGAACATTTATTTCTGTAATTAAACATCTATGCATGCATACAATCTCTTGCATGTTAGTTTAATTTATGTCATCAGAATTAATTTACTAAGAATGTTTCTGGTATTAATATCTGCTAAAGACAACACAGTAAAAAACAAGACTATTGTGTATGTATTTCAGACAATTCTGTATTCATGGCATTATTATCTGATACTACTAAACGAAAAGAGAATGCGTAATAGTTTTTGTATCAAATTGGAAGTGATTCCTAACCGTGTACCCTCGTTTTTGATTGTTGTACAACGTGGATTCCCAATCTTTCTGCTACTTTCGAAGTTAGCGGTAGCATGCCCATCGGACAACATAGACGGAATATCATGAACGGAATAGGTTGATGAATTGTTAATTTTTCTCTTACATAAGCTGGTTGAGCCACTGAAAAAACAAACGTATAAGGGCTACTGAGGAGTAAATTTGTTTTCTAAAGAGCTTTCTGGAATTGATGTCGTATCGATTACCAGTGAAACTTATTAAGAGTAAAGAAAATGTGAATTAAGTTAAATGTGTATGACAACAGATGAATAAATGAAGCTATACATGCGTGAGTGAGTTGAACTGCGTGAATTTATTTTCTCTAAATGCATTAGCTGCGGTTTTTACTTACGCTGTGACGTGTATCCATAATTATTATGTGTTGTCGGTCCGGCTGTAGATTGTACTGACGAGATTACTTTTAATTTACTAGTCGACGATGATAAATTTTGTTCTGTCTGTGATTTCGATTTTTGAGCATTTAATAAAGCAGAGACTGATGAGACTGTTCGATCTTTCAAAGCTTTTTTCGAAATACAATAGGATAGTAATGAAAAATGGACGTGCAAATACTTTTTATTTTTTATATCTGAAGAAATGTAATACTTAGTCAGATCTCTCTGAAGCAAAGCATCTTCCGGTGTGGTTTTGTTTGACATTCTTATCGTTTTTTTAATACCCAAATGATGATATTTTGTCAGAAAAGACTATGATAGGCCTCGAAGAAAAAACTTTTGATCCTTCATTTTGGTGAATGGTATCTTATTTTTATTACCTGATGAGATTGTTCCCATTGCAGCTTTCTGCGAGTGTTTTGGTGGTAATTTTGACGTAGCCCTACTCTGATGATGATTCTTTGTACTATGTTTCATGGTTTTTGAATGTTTTGGACTTGAAATATACGTTTCTGTACCACTACCACTTGTTGTTCGTGTTCCGGATGTACCCGATATTGATCTATATCCAGGAGTTACATACGTCAAATAAACTCTATTCGATCTTGAATATTTTTTGCTATGTTTTTTCTTTGACTGAAAATTACGTGGGGTACAAATTAAATATTTGCATCTACGTTTGGATGGTATCAAGCATACACGGCAAGTTTGAAAACTTATTTTTGAACCTTTTTGTTTCCCTGCTCTTCTCCGAATGGTTTTTAAATTTCTGAGCAATTGTTGTTTAGTCTTCCTAGACAGGCTATCGAAAGATCAAATGGATTATCCAGATGAACATTACTTTTGATAGGCGTACTGAATCTGCCGTTTGTTCGATCCGTGCTTGTGATTGTTTTCTCTTGGAAAAATGATGAGTGGGAGATTTTAATGCTGTTTTTATTGTGCTCGATGATGATATAAAGCACTAGATTCAGATTCTGTCGTTTTACTATGATAGTATTTAGAAACATCAGTTTTATGTGGAAATGATTTTGACAGTCCTAAATTAATAAATTCAAATATAATATGATGAATCCGTCTGTTTCACAATTTAATAATCTCTCATAGAAATGGTGCCCTTTTTTTGAAGGCAGAGATATGTTTTTTGAAATTTTCGTAACCAGAACAAGTCATTCCAGTATTTGGAGCATGTTAGTAATTTGAAGATTTAATTTTCAGAAGAAAAGTATCAGGTGAAGTCAGCTTTAGCAAATTTACCATTTATTATGGCTATGTATGGCAAACAACACGGCATCTTACTTCTGTCTTTAGATTTTATTCTGGTAATTTCTGATGCTGACGTATCACGAGTAGATGACGAACTTGCTGATCGGACTGGAACCAAATCGAAAAGAAATTTATAAGAACGGTGTGTGGTATCATATGTTTACGTACGTCTTTCTTTGCGTTTGCGTCCAGTTTGCAATTTTTTGAAACTCCAAACTGACACTGGGGAGATCTAGACTTTCTCCTGCAATTTTGCTATTAGTTTTTTAACTGATTTTGATTCCTTAGACGTATTATCACTTTTTGCAGTTGATGCCCCACTGCGTAACGTTTTTGAAGCGATTGTGACGTCTGTATCATCTAAAAATTGAAAAATGATTATCGGTAGGAACAATAGAACAAAATTTAAGAAAAATCAACATCACCGTACTTATATGCTTAATTTCCATATGTTTTAATTTAAAAATTGGCAATTTGGACGCCACTTCACATAGTTGTTGCACAGCTTGAATGGGTATTCTTTCTGGATGCTTAATTAGATAATGAATTGGTTGTATAGCGTCTATTTCTAACATATCTCAAATGAAAAAAAAGTGACTGGTCGTGTAGTCACTACATATCTAGAAATTCAAATCATTTCGTAGAAATGTGTCGTATAACATGTTCGATCTACGTTACCTTTCTGAGATGTCGTTTTAGAAACTTGTAAAGACATTCGAGGTGATGAATAATCTGTTTTTAATTGGTTCGATATTATTTGAGACAAGTTTTCTGCTGCTTCTGCTAACTGTTTTACACCCATCGTTCCATCATCATTAGCATTCAATGATTCTACGCTTTTTAATACTTTTGGGCGCAGGCACTGCTGCTGTCGTTTGATCATGATTTTTTGTCAATTTTTTCAATCCTTGACGAGTTACTGGCATGGAATTTAAACGTTTTCTGATTGACATACCTCGTGATGATGCGATGACTTGTTGAGGGTGAGACAATTGTTGATACTCTACTTTTTCTTGGTATGCTTTTTGTTCTAGTCATCGAATCTGCGCAAACAGCTGATTCTTGTACATCCACAAAATTTTGCCCGTAAATCAATCGGAAAACGTTCCGGGTGTTCTTGAAATAATTTTAAACAATCAATGAATACTTTTGTAAGTAGAATGAGTTCATTAGTCATTATTCAATTGCTGAAAATATTAAGTAATACTGACAAGGATGAGCTTAATATTTTTCTCTCCGATAGTATAGCTCATGTAATTTTTTCATGAGTATTGGACACGTTTAGTAATTTCAATACTCACTTCTTTATGTCCGATCAAATAGCAATTAAATTCTTAACTACGGTACACATAGAACAGGAGTTGCTCTTTTTCTTGTTCCTTTTTATGTAGTATTGATATTTAACATTGCAAATGTTAATCTTTCTTCTTTAGAAAGACTTTTGTTTTGGCCTTTGAATATCTGCTATCGTCGTCATAATTGCGAAACTAGTTTTCTAACTTTTCCGATTTATTGTTGTGTTTTATGGGAAAAAAATATGAAAAAACGTATTCTTCACAAAAAAAAATTGTGGTATTTTTCTATTTTAAGTGGTGGTGTCACTATGCGATTACTTCTCCAGTAGATGTGTGCTTGAAAGTCCCTGAATCTACGATCGTTTCATAATCGGTGACTATTGCTAAGAAGTAATATCATCGGATAATATTTAACTCTCTTTCTCTCATTCATGTTTTTTAGAGACATAGCCATTTTGATAATGAGAGTAACTATTCTTTTGCTTCTTATTATCTTTTATCGTTGGTAAATGTTCTTTTTTAGTATCTTTCAATGTTAACGTCGATGGTTTCTTTTGTTTCCAAACATATTCGTGCAGAAAATAGTTTAAAAATAAAAATAGTAACGATGTTGAATGTGCTAAAAATATTATAACAAATAATAGTGGAAATTCGTAACATGTCGAATCATGATGAATAAACATGGTATGAAAACGGAACATACAACCAATAGCTGCGGCTACAAATTGACTAATCTAAAGAGCATAAAAGATTATTAATTTAGAAAGAAGAGACCACTATAAAATAAACAATAGATTGAATACAATATACGTTTTAACAATCATCTTCTATATGTTACTAAAATTATATCACTTCTTAATCGATTCAGAGCTATTATTAAACTTACCTGAATTATGGTGACAAATAATTTCACTCTTGCTAATTGTTTTCGTTGGATATGCATTGCAGCTAATCCATAATAAAGATACATGATGACATGAACGCACGCATTAACTATAACCGGAAGAGCAACCTCTCCACCGGGCGTATACCGCCTAAAACAAATAAGAGTATGACTTTTACGTGACAAGTTCAGTGAAATTATCGAATATGTCTCTATTATTTGAGATAACATTCATTTCACACATGTAAAAAATGAATAACGTTGTTTCTTCTAAATTAGCTGACTAAAGTTGATTTTACTCTGTTTATCTAACCCGTGTCTGCTACTATACTAAAAAACAATATTTTATCTCCTGCAGTTGATGAATCTTTTGCACTCTCATATCCTGTGGTTTGATGCCACCAACGGATGACATCAAAATTTTCTTTTTTTTTCTTTTAGAATTCACAATCTCAGATTTCAGACACGTGAAATTGCGATAAGAAGAAAAATTGATCTCTGCCCAACTATACATATTGGAATTTAAAGGATGATCCAAAAGTTTAGGTATCTTAGAAAAAAGTTAACTTTTTTTCTTATTGATAGTGCAAACAAGCTCAAATTATAGCAAAGAAGTATTTATAACTATAACATTATTACTATATAATTTCATGGTTGTAGCTGTCTCTGTAAGAAAGATACTTTGATTTAGATGTAGAAGATACTTTTAGGTTTAATGATACTTCACAACGAAATCTTGCCCTAGATAAAAACTGAAAATAGTTGCTTATGAGTGGAATCGACACTGCGTCAGCTGCATAATAAACTTGTTAAAGGTTAACCTTGAAAATGTACTTTCGCAGTACTATTCTATACAAAAATTCTATTACAGTGAAATTCAACTCATTATACATCATTCGATTTCATTACGTGTGTACTATCAAGCTAGTTTAGAAGTATTAATTATGCCACTGCAGCTAGTGATTTTCAAAATTTGAATAGGGACTTTATATTTTCGATCTCGATATAGCCATCTGTAAGATAAAAGAACGGAGGCTTGTATGACCGATTCTTTCAACATCCATCGATTCTTGTAGAATACTTATTATTTCTTCCGTTTTTTTGTGGAACTCTTCCGAATAGTTTCCGAAGGAAGGAGGAGTGTAAGTTATATACTCAGAACCCTAGCGTTTTTACTGTTTTTCCCATCTCCCTAGTTAGGATCTTAACTTGACTATAGTTATGATCTTAATTAAATAAATAATGGAAGTGATTATGACTGTACGTTCGTCTAGTCGAGCCCAGTTATAACCCTAGAGCCCCTATGTATAATCTTAAAATTGTTCTCGGCACATATTAATGAGCTTTAAATCATTCAGGCCTTATTCACGATTTTACAACCTCTGGTTATGATCTTAAAGATACCTAGTGTCTCTCGTTATGGTCTCGAAGCCGTTCAAGGTTTATAGTTATGATCTAAAAACGTCAGGGTGACTCATAGTTATTATGTTTTTGTTCGGGAATCACAGCCATGTCGTCGATTTTTATCGAACACTGACGGTTAACCGCGTTTGTTAAAATAACCGTCGGCTATCGCTGATCCATCAGACAAACCGATGCTTATTTCAATAACCGCTGCATGCAAGAAACCGTCGGTTATCGGTTGATCCTTTTTTTTATCGGAGTTCATTCACCGTTTTTTAATTACTGATTACGAAAACGAACTCAAGAATCAACAGCCGGAAGGACTTTCACATTTTAACCCCCAACAGAGCTGCACTGACAAGATTTTCAAAACAAATTCTTTAAGAATTTTGATCACTGTAATAATAAAAACGATTGTTTTTGCATATGTTCCACTAAAATTATTCACAAAGTGTTTTTTCGTTAACATCTGACACAACGTAAGTCTTTTTGACGTTTGCAATATACTTCTAAGCAACTTTTTATTTTGCTTTCTTTTCACTGAATGGTACAATAAGTATGCCCTTCACTCCAGAGTGTTTTTCATTGATATTACATCTAGGCTACGTAAAAAAAGAAGGCGAATAAAATATATAATTAAGATAATGAGAATTTGAGTGTCCTTGAACTGTTAAAAAATCAATTGTAGTAACAAGCAGAGAACTATCAGACCGTTCACTCATTTTCTTGGAAAATATTCCCATAATTGTTTAAGGCATTTTCTAACAAAATTGTGAAGTTTTTTCTCTACATCGACTTGTTTGGTTATTCACATTGATGAGAATTATACATTAGGAAGAACTTTTATTATAGTTATCAATTACGAGAGAACTTCAGAAAATTCGAAGTACTAATATCTTTAGCTTATACTGCCTCCCATTAGAGTCCTACGGATATGACATTTTTTATCCAGAATCCGATCTCGTCCCGTAGACTTAAAATCCGTCCCGAATCCGAACTCGCACACATTTTTTCGAGATACCGATTCTGGTTTTTCCAAACTAAAACCCACTCCAAACCCGCTCGATCCGAAAATTTTTTTAGTGAAGTCCCTTCTTTTATTTCTGCATTAGTAAATTACTGCACGTAGAGGTTCTGCTTCTTTCACAGATAAGAAGGAGAAACTCAATCAAAGTCATGGTAGTTTTAATGACAGTGAAAACTAAAAGAATTAAGGAAATTCTTTTTCTATTGCTATTTTTGTGATAAACGTTTAGCAGGCTCAGAAACATTATCTCTTTGCTGTTTTTGTCTTTTGAATAAAATAAATAATGCAACCTTTGAAGAAGAAATCCTATCCCGTTCCAATGAACTCAAACCCGAACAAAAACGTTTCGGGATCCCGATTCCGAACCCGCGAGATCGGGTTAAACCCGCAGGACTCCAACTACCATGAATAAAAGTAGCAAACATTCAATTAGCGATATCTATTTCCCTCTACTCGTATCAGTTAGTTTCAATTAAAACACTTAAATTATGATTTTCTAATGCGCCGTCACCGAGAATTCTTGCAAATATGAACAGACCTATCTTGACACTTCTTATAGCAACCATGAACGTCTTTACTTACGATGCTAAATACCATATTGGAAACATTGTAGCATGATGGTACACATGAAGAATAGTAACATGTGTAAATTTATTTTTCAAGATAAAAAACCATGTGTCAAGAAATTCAAATCCTTTTGATATGAAATACCACCACACAGCAGCCGATAGATAATAATCATCTGGAGTATGGAGAACACGCTGGCAATAAATACGATAGGAACGAGTTAATAGTGTTCGAAGTGCTAGCATGACAACATAGGCATTGATTAAAACGGCAGCAATATTGTAGGCAACGATAANACGATAAGTGTTCATTTACAAAGCACGCTTTACTCTTCTGTGTGTTTGATAGTGTCTACCTTTTCGACTTTAACTATTCAATCATTTGCGAATGAAAGCCAAATGAGCTTAAATTAAATGGTTTACGATTTCGCATAATTTTTTTTCCGTAATAAACGGATAATAGATAAAAGGTCGTTAGAATTACAACAGGCCATGGTGCTCCGACCAGAGGCCACGATTTTGTTACAGGATCAGCACCATGAGGTGCAATTAAATTCCAAAGATCTGTCATTGTTTTTGTAAAAAAGATGTTTTAACTTCCTTGGAAATCGTGTTCCTCCAAACCGGTCTCAACGTTGGTAAAGAGGAAAGAGAAGAGAATATTGATGCGCACCAATGCACATAAAACAACGTACGATACCGTCATATGTAAATGAGTAGGAAGACAAATCACCATTTACGCACACCTTTCCTCTTTGTCAAGAAGTATGTGGTATGAATATCATAGTCCTTTGCTCAGTTCACCTGTGTTATTCTTTAAGAGGGTCAAACAATGCACACTGTTCGAACACTCTTTTAAATTGCATCACTTTTTGGCTTACGACAAACGTCTCATTCAGATTATATTTGCAAAAGGCTTTTTTAACAAAGACAAAACTGAACGTATTTTCTCAATTCTATATTAAACAGTTTATTTTTACCTTGTCTTGATCATATGAAGGAAAATTAACGATTGGATATAACATGATAAAATAGTTTTAAAAAAATAATCAAATTTCTCTCTATCGTGTGGTATATTTTTTGTATTTAGTTTCAACCGAACACGTTTGTCGTTTAAGGACCCCTTCCTCAGAAATTATCTTCGACATCGTACATCCGATCTTGACGAAACTTTCCATAAATGTTTGGCTTAATGAGTTACGGGAACGAAAAATTTTTTTTGTCTCCAAGTCTTACCGTTCAGGAGTTTTCCAGCGATCAAGGTCCAAAAAGGGCCCTGAAGTGTTCCTAAGATTTTTTAGTATTCTTCAAGCTGGAGAGTCCGGATTTGATTTGTTTTAAGCTAGACACCTAACTACATCGACTGATCGGCGCCGATTTTTCAATTAAGCCTTTATTTGTTTTTCAGGCAACCAACAACCTCCAAAACCCGAAAAAGCCTTCCAGATTTTCTAAAAATCCTTAATTTGATAAAAAACTAACACCTAATTCAAAAATCGATGCCGGTCAGTCGATGTAGCTTCTTTTCCTCTTTTAAACAAAAAAATAATAAACTATCTATGACAAACCGCTATAAAAAATCTTGTGAAATACTTCAGGTGTAACTCTTATATAGAGAAAACGCTGTATGAAATACTCAATTTTAGAACTTCTAGGAAAATGTTTGTAACTTTTTGATACAAAGTCATACAGAGTTGTGCGAGGTCTTATTTTGATCAGAAACGTTTGCTCTACAAATCTGTGTGTTTAGAAAAATTTTAATTGCATTAGTATCCAGGAAAAAGCTATTATTTGAAGAGCCGGTTTTTCAAGGCTCCTAGAAAACTTGCTCGAAATCCGCGAAAAGCCACTTCTGTAACCAAAAGCGATACAGATTCTGAAAGGAGATACTGCAGGCTACCTTTCCATGTGCTTATCTCAAAACTGATGTTTTGACGGAAAATCACCATTTCTGAGGGGGAGCCCTTAAAGTACAATCTATCCGTCTGTTGATAAGGTGCTGGAAATTCAAAAAAACATATCCGAATATTTTTTTCATTTTTTCTGCTCTAGTTGGATACAGTTCATCGAGTTACCTAGGTAAAACTTAGTTTTCGATTTTTGATGGAAAGTTTGAAAAATATTTACTTTTTAAAAATGGACAAAAATCACTATAGTATAAAAATTTAACTTTAGCATTTTTTAAAGCTAGAATGGGCTCGGAATCTGCTGAACACCAGCAGAACCAGAAAAATGTCCTTGTACATCAACCAAATCTATCTAGTCCTACCCGGTAGTTTTTTCTTTCGGAAGGGACACGCTTGAATGGAACAAAATGCGTTTTATCTCATTCCAACACGTCCCTCTCCAAAGAAAAAACCACTAGGTAGAAGAAGCTAAAAGATAAAATTTCTTTTACTTCATTCTAGCCACCATACGAGTGAGAAGCATCCACCCGAATACGACCGAGTCCCTCTTTACCGCTTAGACTTTAGTGATAAACGACTAGCCTAAACACTCTCATATAATTACGTACATATATTGGGTGTTGGTTAACTCTGATCTCACCACCCGATTCCTCCTTTGAAATGTGCATTAATACAAGAAATGTTTTAAAGAAGAATGGATTCGGTTATTTTCTTGAATTTCATGTTTCGCACAAAATCTAATGAAACCACTTGAAATCTGCAGATCATGGAATCGATCTGGTGGTTCAACCAAACTCGTTTAGTAAAATTCTTGTACCTCTGTGAGAAAAGGTCATTGAGAACTGCGAAACGTCTTGTTATACTCAGAATTGAATGAACTATCTCTTCACTGTCCGAAACGAGTTTCAGAAAGCTTCAGAGCTTGAAGGCTTTCATGAAAATAATTGATAGAATCGACCCACTAATGTTGCTTGTGTTCATTGTGTTTGTTCGAATGTGTCTAATTCTAATTCTTTTCGTTCATGAATCCGACCACGTAAACGATTCATTACTTTTAACATTTGTGACCATTT